GGGCATCTGGCTTGACAGCATCTCCTCTCCTCTCCACCCCCCACCCACACCCTGTTTACTGTTGCCCTTGGGTGCTGGTCAGCACAGGCGACTTGCGGGCAGGCAGGTGGGGCTGGGGCGCCAGCTGCATTCAGAGCCAGGGTTAATGTGAACCCCCTTTCCCCCCAGGGGCAGGCGAGGCCAGGGTCTCTGTGCCCTGTTGAAGGGGTGGAGTGCTTGTCTGTGCACCTCTCCCACCAGACTGCACTCTCTGCTGCCACAGCTTCATCTGTAGCCCCCCTGCGGAATTTTTCCCCCTTCGCTCCTCGCCTGCAGTTGCAGGAAATGAGATGCCAGCACACTGCCCTCCTTGCCTCGTCTGGAGCCCAGTGTCTACTCTGTGAGGTTCCTTTGTGTGTGCAAGCGGCTACACTCCCTGCCTTGCCAGGATTCTCTATTTGGAAAGGGCTTCTGGAGCACAAATGGGGCTTCTGCCCAGAAGCCCAGTCAGTCCATTGGGACCCAGTTTCAAGGGACTAATAAACCAGGCTGGGACCTTGGTTACCAAAGGCATGCTACCGGTGTGTGAGTGCATGACCGCTGGCAAGGGCTACCTCCCCAGCCAGGGGCCAGGGGATGGATGGATTGCATCCAAATGGACTTTCACAGCTTTGCAATTCCTCCAGTTGACATTGGTCCAGGCAGAGGTCGAAGTCTCCTGGGATGCTGGACAGATCTTCACTGAAATGCAACATCTTCTTTCTTCTGCAAAAATGCATGAAAGCTCGTCACTATCCACCTCCAGTAGTACCTGAGCAGTCTGAATTAGCAGATGATGGGGTCAGAGATGATGGGAGGGGGGGACTGTAGCCTTCATGTCCTGATTGGAGGCTTCTTGGAAACATCTGGGTAGAAACAGGATCCTGGTTGAGAGGCATCCTTTCACTGATGCTGCAGGGCTTTTTGGATACTGGTATGCGAAAAGGGGCCTCTGAATGTCTGTTGTACACATGACAAAGGTATTCTCTAGAAACCGATCTTTACTACTCAGTCAAGCATTAGATGTCCAGAATGGATTCTGTTTGTGTGGATCATTGCAGTTACTACAGTAAGCTCTACTCTCTGGAAACTCCCTGAGGAAAACTCATAGAGAAAAATCTGGGCAGTGGGGGAGAGGGGATCAGTGCATCCACACCTGCCTGAGGTTGATTCAGGTCATTCGTTGCTGGAATCTTAGGCAGGAGTTTGCAACCAAGCGTGCTCTGCTGTCCCTATTCTAACAGCCCCGCGGATCATGTTGGTGCTCGTCTTCTCTGAGACCAGACACAGCGGTACCTTGGGCTTTGGTCTCCTTCCGAGCTTCAGCTCTGAAGTAGCATTCATTTTCTAGATGCGAGGTTCAAGCAGAGAAGCAGAAGAGCCTGAAAGGTGTGCACAAAGGACACATGTGTACACCCCCAATAGACAAAACAATGTAAAGGGTTCCTTAGTGGAACAGGCTTCCTTGGGAGGTGGGGGGCTCTCCTTCATTGGAGGTTTTTAAACAGAGGCTAGATGGCTATTGGACAGCAATGCTGATTTTGTGAACTTAGGCAGATCATGAGAGGGAGGGCAGGAAGGGTTGCATCCGTGCTTGTGGCCCTTTCTTGCACACCCAGGGAAATGCTGATTGCCACTTTGGGGTCAGTAAGCAGTTTTTCTCCAGGACAGTTCGGCCAGAGATCCTGGAGGGTTGGGTTTTTTTGCCATCTTCTGGGCATGGAGCAGGGGTCACTGGGGGTGTGGGGAGGAGGTAGTTGTGAATTTCCTGCATTGTTCAGGGGGTTGGACTAGATGACTTTGGAGGTCCCTTCCAACTCTATGATGCTATGGAAGGCTGGTCACCTTTGGGGGGGGCAGTAGGGAGAATTTCCTCTGAGCAAAGGCAGGTCCAGCTTCCCATTGAAGTCTCCATCCTTGACTGTTGCATCTTTGGAGCATTAAGGAGGTGGATGGCTAGGTGAATCCAGGAATGGAACCTGTTCACAGGAGCAAGAGTGACTGAGAGGGAGGGAAAGGGGCCCTCCCCACCACCAAGCATTGCCAAATGGAAAGATGCTCCATGTCTCCCCACAAAGGAGCCCACCCAGTCTCCTGAATTGGGGCAAACCCAGGGAATTTATTCCTCTGCCTGGGCTTAGCAGCTCATTCCCCCTCCTGTGCCTTTGGCCTAGGCTGTTCTTAGTCCCACCACGGTCCTAGCCAAGGCACCACTAGTGGCATCCCAGAATCAGGACCATGCATCACCTTCAGGCTTTTCTTGGGTACTGCTTGGTGGATCTGGTTGCACAGTTATCCTTAGGGTGACCTGGGAAGAAGTCAACTGGCTCTTCCAACCAGCCCCACCCCTCTGTTCCTTTGGGGGCTTCTGGCTGGGCAGGAATGTGGGAGCAGCGTGCAGTGGCTGTAAGAGGGAAACCGCTGTGCCCACAAGGCAAAGGCGGCATCTCTTCCACCTCAGCCTGGATGCCAGGGGCAGGGGGGATGCAGAACTAAGCCAGAGACTGAAAAACCTGGATGTGGTGGTGGGGCATGGGGCTGTGAGTGAGGAGAGACTCTCCCCCTGTAGGGTGGTTGGCTTGAAAACAGACTTCCTTGGCTCAGTGCTTCTGTCATCGTTCTCCCAAAGAGATGCCCTGAGCCTGCCTCGGCGGGGAGGGCGGGGTACAGATTTGAATAAATAAATAAACAAGGAACTGATTTTTGCATCTCCTCTGGGTGTTCCAGTGGGGCTGAAAGCTGGGGTTGCCAACTCTCGGTTGGGGAATTCCTGGAGATTTGGGGGTGGAGCCTGGGGAGGGCAAGGTTTAGGGATGGGCTTGGCAGGGTATAATGCCATAGGGTCCACCCTCTGAAGCAGCCGTTTTCTCCAGGTGGTCTCTGTCATCTGGAGATCAGTTATAAATCCAGGAGATCTCCAGGCCACAGCTGGAGGTTGGCAATCCTAAGCTCATGGGATGATGGACAGGTCCGTGGGGAACCAGCATGGTGCAGGGGACAAAATGCAGCCCAAGAGAGCCATTTCCAGGTGACTAGTTGTCATCTACCAGGACAGGCTCTGGGAGAGACCCAAGGACAGCCGAAGGTGATCCCTCCCAGCCCCAAACCCTGCCCTCGCCAGGATCCACCTCAAATCTCCAAAAATTTCCCAGCCTGGAGTTGGCAACTCTACTTCCCAGAGAGATCTGCAGATAATCCATTTGGATGTACTCAGAGACCCATAAAGCCTCCCTGGCAGACAGTCAAAGATGTTCTCTTGGGGACCAAATACAAATTCCTCTGGGCTTCCTCTCGGCTTCCTTCAATGGCACACTAGTTCCTGGCTGTGCTGCAGAAGAAAACTTTTGAACGTGTGCAAAATGCCTTCCCACAAAGCTTGCCCTCATGCCCAGGAGCCAGGAAGCAGTCTGAGCCTTCCTTCATCCCCCCACACACATACTCTCCTTTCCCTTTCTCACACCAGTCTTTCAGATGCTGGTTTGCCGAGGGCTTCATTCCCTCCCTGATAGGATTTCTGGACACACACACACCCGCCCGCCTCCGGTTCTGTATTCCTAAACTAAGTATGGTGGAGGTGGGAAAATTAAACAATGCAAAACCAAACCTTTGCACAGATGTAATACAGGTCAGCAAAACGCTTTTGCGCAGAAATTCAAAAACTGATGCGACTGCCTCCTACAATGGTTTGCTTGGTGACCTGGGAGGCCTTCTGGCTCATCAGGTTGCCAGCTCCTGGTTGGGAAAAATCCAGAGTTTTGGGGGATGGAGCCTGGGAGGGCAGGTTTCGGGGAGGAACCTCAGGTACAATGCTGCAGAGTCCACTGTCCGAAGTAGCCATTTTCTCCAGGGGAACTGATCTTTGTAGTCGGGAGATCAATTGTAATTCTGGGAGATCTCCAGACCCCACCTGGATGTTGGCAACTCCATGGAGTCGTTGTAAGCAATCTGCACATGATTTGCTGCCATCCGTTTCTTTTCTGGACAGGGCAGCCTGGATGTGAATGAGAGGCAAGTCAGGTCAAGTAGTATCCAGGGACCCAGCAAGGAGGATCTGAACTCTATGGCAAAGGCAGCAGCCCAGGAGGGCTCAGCAAACACAAGCCCAGGAGAAACAGACACCTTCCTGTAAGGGCTGGAGTCAGGGTGCCCTCCCAGGAAATGGGCCCCTTCAGACTGTTTCAGATATCAGTTCAGAATGCAAAGTGGAAAGATTGTGCATGCTGGCCCTGCTCCCACCCATTGATTTGCATGTCAGAAAGGTAGGGTTGCCAGATTCAGGTTGGGAAATTCCTGGAGATTTGGGGGTGGGACTTGGAGAGGGTGAGATTTAGGGAGGGGAGGGACCTCACCAAGATACAATGCCATAAAGCCCACCCTCCAAAATAGCGATTTCCTCCAGGGGAACTGATCTCTATAGTCTGGAGAGCCTTTGTCATTCTGGAGGATCCCTAGGCCCCACCTGGAGGTTGGCAACCCTGCAAATGGAATCTATATGGTTACAACTGTGCTTGAGTAGGGGACTTTCCTCATATTGGGAAACATGGAAAACACAGGTTCCTGTATATGCCAAAGAGTCCCTCTTGTAGGACTCTACGCCAAGAGTCCCTCTTCTTGTAGGAATCAAATGAGACCTACAAGGAATCAAG